ACATCCTAGCGGTACTCGTCCATCAAACCCCAATTCAACCGAGTATCGAACCCGGAACCTCGCGGGAGAACTCAGGCGCACTACTCCCTTGAATACCGGGCAGATGATCAGAGCGTTCTTTGATTTGTCTATATGCGACATATACAGATTGAGTGCCAAACAAATCACAACACAAGAATCCGGATAATGTTCATCAACCAATTCTTCTCCACTAAGAGAACAAAACAAACTACGAAATCTTCTTACCCTCTATTGAACCGAGAATGTAGCCCTGACCGTTCGGGAAACATCGGATGCACCGCGTCTGGTAGCGAAGACTGGATTCGCGTTGCTCCACTGGGGCGTGCATCTGTCGTAAATCCCAGATCAGCACATGCCGACCAGCAGTGCCAACCACCAGTTGATTGTCAATACTGTCCATGGTGTAAACTGTGTTTGGCTGCCGATGGACGCTCTGAGCTCCACCCTTATCACCACTGCCAGAGGCAGCAGTGGCTGATGCCGCACGCGGATCCCAAAGGCGCACGGTACAATCCCAGCTTCCTGTGATACACGCTTGAATAGTATTGTTATAATGCATTACGCTGATGGCTCGCACGCATGAGCCCAATAGCTGACCTAAACGTCAGTTCCGGAAGAAAAGAAAGGTGATAAATGTTATTTAAAAGAAATATTTCAACTGGGAGGCAAATAAATTTACGTGATCACTACTGGACAGCGTTGAATAAATGCATACAATGGCAAGACTGTTCGATACAAAACGGTGGTTATCTCTCAGGCAAAAGATTATTTGGGTTCGGCAAGGAATTGTGGGCTGTCTATCCACTTCTCCATAATTCACCTACAGGAGTCATGACATCTCAAAATTTGTATTCATTATTTTTAGGGACCATATTAAACAAAATGAATATCAAAAAATGAATTGATAACTTTTATCCAGAAAACGGTCGGTAGAAGGTACTCACTTTGATTTGTATTACAATCGAACAGCTTTAAATCACCGGACAACGAACCACTGAGTACATGGACTGTATCAGAAAATGTAGTGTCCAGTACCGGTGTCGAATGCTGATACATCATCCGCTGTCCACCGGAAGCAACATCATAGATTCGAACGGTACAATCCCAACTGGAGGCAACAAGGAATTGGGGGGCAGCTTTACCAGGTTGGAAACGAACGGCAGTCACACCATCTGTCGGCAGCGAAGACAGCTTATACTGATCTACGCTAGAGGAAGCTGCGGGCGCCATTGCTGAAACGAAGCGTCACAACGTTAGGGTACAAATCACATTAAGTATGTAGCTTAGCAAATACAATCAAGGTCAATCAACTTTCCCTTTCAACTTTTGCTGGAAAGTGGTACTACAAACCAAAGGGTGCTATGGCCACCATTGAATGAACTATCACAACAGCGCAAACAAGTGGGTTAATACTATATGCTAACTTTATGTCGATGGTAGCAGACAGGACTGCGAAAACAGGTCCTTAGTAAAGTAAGACTTTCATGGTCAATACGGAACAGGAACACACCAAAGAAATTTAAAGATTCGACAAACAACCAACAACTATTAACCGATGTCACATGAAAATTAGCCTCCCACACGTGCATGATTTTATTTCAGTTTTGATTTATAATAAAGATTCCCAAATAAACTTCATCTCGATGACGAGCTAACAAGATTGACGGCCAGTTATTATACAAGTACTGATTGAACTCGTGTGACATGACTCTCAATTTAAAATCCACTTCATTTCGCCTCTGAAAGCTTCGGTATGGTCGGGGGTGGGTATCGCGGCTTGTGGTTAGTCACCCTTCCCTTGTATCTCGAAAAATGATCCAGTACGACCAGGAGTCTCAAACAACTTCTGATGAGGGAGCCCTACTCACTACCTTCTCCTGTTGGAGGTGACGGTACTCTAAAAGAAGTGAAACACAATCCACTGATTGTACTTAATCAAATTTTATTTTTCTCTTGTGAAAGATCAGATGGAGTATTTTTGTGATTTAGAATAAGTATCTAAAGTGCAAAAGGATACAACTTAAGGCAGAAACGTAAGTCCAAATGCCATCACGATATTTTATCGCACAGATGCCCGTGAGCGGGAAACAAGTCTCGGACTAAAGGTCAAAAAAGAGCAGAAATTGCGGGAGTGGTGATAGTAGTTTCGGTCGCTGTCACCTGCACTTCGGCTTCTAAAGTTCAAACCTGATCATTACCGCCAAATTCAAGAAGAGAACAAACTCGTTGTCTAATATGGCTTGTTGAATCACTGGCCTGAGACAAGCTGTATACAAATGCTGTGCAGAGAAAAGGAAAAGACAAACAGGATGCTTTATTCTGTCGATGTTCTGAGCTATCGGACTGAGTCGGGGCTTAATATTACATATACTATTCTGGAATCCTGTGCAATTCGCCAGGTTGGGCTGCTTGTTCCAATGAACGAAGAATAGGTCTTCACTTCAACTTTTCATCACACAACGGTACGCAATGAAACAACACAGGGAGACCAATTTTTCATTACAACAGAAAAGATTTGGTAGAGCCACTTCCCTAGATACATACTCCTATGGGATGGGTGTTAAATGCACATTGGTAAACAAAAGTCATTTGAGAAAGAGCATCGCGAAAGACTAAAATCGAAAGTCCCGGTGGTAACGTCACCAAATTACCACCCCCACCACCACCGCCTGACTTTCCCCATGGCAGCCCTTTGATTGGCCGCTTCTCCCTTCCTGAAAATTGTACCACTGTGTACTCAACAAAAGGAAGTAAAATGAAAAAAAAGAAAGCAGCTTTTTGGAACAATGCTGTCGCTTTGCGATTCGGTAGTATTAGACACCTTGACTATCGCGCAGGTTCACAAATGAAAAGTCTTCAACCAATGGCGAAGATCAACATATCGAAAAACCAGATTGATGTGAGCATGTGTGAGGTTAAGCTGAGTAGCACTGCAAAATGGAAGTCGAGGGTGATCAGATGGTAAATGCTGAAATGACACCAGATCGGTCTCTCATGACATACAGGACTTCGCGGAGGCGGAAAGACCCATTCAAAAACAAATCTGATAAACGGCGGAATTCGATCCTATCAACTTGGCTAGCCTACTTTGACTGTGAATAATACATCTGTTGATTACGTTCGAAATAGATTGTTCACCATCACAATATTTTTCGTATAGTTCTGGGACAAACATAAAATACAGCTGCAGATAAGTGAGTGGCAATACGTATGTCCGTTGATTACAAAGCTCAATGTAATTAAAACTAGAAAACTAGAAAAGGTATGCCACATAGTTACTGATATCGACAGTTCAGTTATGGAATTCAATAACCTACACCCGAGGACAGGGAGTGATAAATCACACAAGGTGTAGTTCTCAGTCAGGTGAGCCACCCACGCCAATGTGATGCTTCGAATCTCCAAGTTTATAAGATGCAACTCATCAAATGGCTGGCAACGATTGACCACCACCTTGAGCTGCAGCTGCATGTGGTGTTCTTTGTATCTTCATTCTGCAAGACGGGTACCTGCTTCCGCTCCCAAGACCGATGCTTGCGAAACGGACGCAGGAGCAATTTATATGTGATGAAGGTAAATGAGAGATATTCAATACTTTTAACACCTTACCAGCTAGTGACCATAGCGAGCAGGATATCCTTGGGTCGATTCACATGACATTCCAGTGAAGGTTTGAAATCATTTTTTTTCAGTTCTCGTAGATGTGCTAGATACTCATGGCTCATGAGCCCGGCTGTAATTGCTGATATTAGCGTTTTGTCCCCGTTATTTGGTGAACACACTCTTGTCAAGATAATGCAGCAAGTAGCCTCCACCCACAACACAAAAATCGCACTTCCTGAGAGTATCCCTTGCGAGACTCACCGAGTAAACTGGGGCTCTTCAGATATTAAAGTACGCCTGCTAGACTGTTCCGCCAGGGAACCGATTGGAATTATTTACTTAAATACGTTTGATCTATTGTTAGTATGAGTAACCAATCACTCGCATTTATGAACAACACTGCCGCAAAAGAGAAAAAGCATTCGCACCGGAAGACACAATCGAGCTAAAGTGAGAACAGGAGTTAGTTTACAATCAAGTTTATTCGTCCAGAAAGGCTAATCCCGGATACAGATTTCAGAGATCAAAAAGACAATGGGGGGAATGGTAACACGAACTAATCAAAACCCTGTGCATGGGGTGTGACCAGTGAACGACGACACACTTCAAGGTGGGATGCAGCTGAGATGAAGACAAATATGAACAGATAAAATAGTTGCGTTGGGAAGTGACGATTGTGTAGAAATTTTCCTCAATGAGAAATAGCATTAGAGGAACACCGGCAAGTGGCGCAAACAAACAAACATCAGCTGTCAAAGGTCGCCCTGGATTGGAGAGACTATTGAAACTCATAGATCACAGTTGTTGAAGATGAGTGAAGTAAATGACATCGAGCCTGTGTCGGACGCCTCAGATAACCGTGAGGAAAAGGTATGGGCAGTTATTCACATCTCAGAATGTAATTTCGTCATGGCCCAGAATCAGTGTGGTCATGTGGTTCCTTCACAATGACTTGCCGTTGTTATTGTTCTCCGGGGACACACTCGAATGGCCAACCATCGATGCATCTCTTGATGCTGTCCAGTAAGTCATGACACGCCAATCAAACCAATACGTTTGATATCGAAACAAATCTGACCAACACCATGAAGCTGCACCGATGGGCATCGGCTCCTGGTCAGAATTGGCATCTAACCATGAGTCTAACAATCTGGTTGCATCGGAGCCTCGTTCAGGTCGTTTCACCTGAGTCATTGTGGTGTCAGTAGCCAGTGTATTTTGCCAAGGTATGGGTTGACCAAACCACCTTAGGCTGAAACAGGTGACACATTTGCCCAGAATGAGAATCAAAGCCGGTTGGTGAATCATGGCGATCACACGATAGTGAGGTCCTTCAAAAGGATCCGACACAGCTGGACAAAGCATGTGATTCAAGTTGATTCCGGTGAGCTGAAATGAGCAGAAATGGCACATAGTATGACAATTCGGACACCATTTCGTTTCATCTTTTGCAAGAAATCGAACGAAAGGGTGTATCAGCAGACGCTCTTGGTGTCGATGGCTTGTGCCTAATTTATGTTGATTCTCAGTAGCAATATGCATAACTCGGTGCAAGAAACATAAAGCTGAATGAAAAATATGAACAATCACGATTGCACTTCTGGATGATTTATCAAGCTTTCAGATGTAAACTTTTTATCTTCTATAAGGATTATTGTACCGTGATTTGCTTGACAGTCTGGCCTCAAACTGTGTGTAATAAAACACACACTTCAGTTCCCAGTATCATACCTGTACATGGACAGCCGCCGATGGAGAGTATTTATTCCGAATGACCCCAATAAAACGCCATGTAGCAACAGAATCAGACACACAATTCTCTCTTTTCAGTAGGACATGGCTATTGAAGCAAATACAATCAGAAGTAAGTCATTTCCATCATTATTGTCTTGCTTCGTTCATGGGAGCTACAGTGCTCTAAAAGAAGTGAAACACTATCCACTGCAAAAATCAGTATGTTCATTTGAAAAGCTGTGCCATTCGAACAAAACAGAAATTTGGAGAAACGTCTAACTATAAGGGTACGGAATAACAATCAAAAGCAAACTGCGACTTATCCTTCAAAAAGTATTCTTAAGAAACAAATATTCAGAACGATTCTCGTGTGAGATCTTGAATCACTAAGAAATTTGTTACCATTACATAAAATGGTATGCATCTACCGATATAACATTTCACAAAGTGCTCCGAAAATTGCCCCAGCTGGCAAGAAAACACTTCGTGGTGCATTTACACATTACGTTTAGCTTTAAGCTATTGTCCGATTTTTAGCCCAATGACGTAGTAGCTGCATGTGTACTCTTTCAAGGTCTGGCCTCCTACTGCTTGCACTGAGTAAATGCGGTAACCCATGATCAGGAGTTTGCTGGGCAAGCTTAAAAACCGTTCGATTAGTTAACATCTCTCCAGGTCAAATTGCGTGCAGTACGTAACTGAAGCACACAGTCCTTTAGATGCGACTTACTGTTAACAATTTTATAGCCATTACCCCCATTCTACCGTACTATATCCCGTTAACACATTGCCATCTACATATAGCGGTCAAGGGACAGAAAACTGCATTTCCCTTTTCAGCTATTGGCGCACCTTCCAACCTACGCATACACATTGGCGTGTCAACAAATCGATGGATCCACCTGAGCGTTATTTGGTTGTTTTGTTATAGCGATACTGAAACCTGACAACTTACTGAAGCGAGGTTCAATAGTGGATAGGTGAATAAACACGATCCACTGCCGTTTACCGAATTGGCAAAACGAAGTGTAATCAAATGAGCAAGCGATAAATCCAAATGGGACGGAATGAAATGAGTTATAGAACTAATATGAACCTGTAGAAGCTTAAGTATGATGGAGGACGGATGTCGCGGGTTTTCGTTATTCATCCTTCCCTAGCATCTCGCAAACTAATCCAATACGACCAAGAGTCTGAAATAGCCTGCTATGAAGAAACGCTACTAACTACGTTCTCGTGGTGGGCAAAGGTCCGTGGGACAAGAAATCGGAGTGGAATAATTAGGTAGGTTGGCGTTAGAGATGAAAAAAGGAACAAAAGGTCAATTTTTTCGAGTTGCTCACATACAATATCACCATAAAGAATAAAGATAGCAGGGAAATTGGATAAACGAAAATTATGAGAAACTGCTTTAGCAAGGAGCGAAATTGTTGAACTACCGGGGGTAAAAGAGACCACGAATTGGGTTCTGCGGTGGATGAGGCACTGTTTGCTTGGTTCAATAGCACTTGCCCCTATCTTGCATGAAACGGTGGTAGAGAGAGGGAGTGGACGATGAGTGTATAAAATGGTCACATACATGGTCAAATCAGCAGGATATCCCGGTTTGCTGGGTTTAGAAAAGTGTGAACCAAAAACGTCGGCGAAGTTGAAAACGTCCGAAGTGAAGCAGAAATCACTGTAAAGATCATATTTTTTGGCTGGATTGTGCCTTGAAGTGAGTGAATGGTCGGTATGGATAAACATGATGAAGCGGGAAACAATTCAGCGGTTAGATGAGTCAAGCTGGTGATTCACCCAGGGGATTTGCTAAAAACCCTGATTCAAAACCAACCGAGAAAACGCGTACGAACCATACACACACACACACACACACACACCTTCCTGGTTGTGGCAGAGGTCACCGGCTCGATTCGGTATCCAGGTATATTCGGCAATTTGGACGTTTAACTCCATCCGAAGGGCGTATGATCCAATGAACTGGACACCGGCCTCCAATGGATTGCGGTTTTCGTACACCGCCCCGCTGCGTTGCGGGTCAGGCTTTGGCTAGCCGGAGGCTCCGGTTACGAGGACCCCAAGAAAATTCACCTGCCTTGGCCTGGGCAACCCGGCAGTATTCCGCCCACATGCTAATCATGAATCTTTTTCTCCTATGAGAATTGTTGTACCGTGATTCGTTTGACACATAGTCTGCCCTCAGACGTGATACATACATACATACATACATACATACATACATATATATATATATATACATATATATATATACATATATATATATACATATATATATATATATAACGACGGAATCTGTGAACTAGCTAATCGGTCAGTGAGAAAGAACCCTTGTAATCACGGGATATAGACGTAGTCATTGACTATCTCAATAGTGTTTATTAAACAAGTCTACTTCATACATTTCTGCAGTGTTCATCAAAATTCCCAGTGAACAATATTTTTAAAGTTCAGTTAACTATGGTGGATAACAGAAGAAAATTGGTGAGTAATGTAAATATTTTCAACATCCTTTGCTAAACTAGCACACCAAACATATTACGAGGGGATAAACAATGCCTCGTAACTATCTTTTTCATGACCATTGTTACTCTTTCCGGATATAAAAGCATATTTCATTCGGTCGGTTTGGAAAATATCTATCTCGCTTATCTAATGTACATATTCTAACATTGCGAACAGAATATAAATTCCGAACTATTCGACTAAGACATCGTAAGGAACAACTTACATGTAAATACACAGTCATCATCATCATCGTACAGCGAAATACAGTGAAGCGAACTTCACTGATCGCTGCTAAACTCGCAATGCATACAAGGCAAGTGGACAGGGGTAGGACATACTTTGACGGAGGGGGAAGAAGTTAAAAGTCTGTGGTCAAAACACAGAGTACACAACCTAACTGTGCATACATACAGTTTCAAGCACTCCGGCCTGATAAGAAATGACAACAAGAACGCCACCGCTGTCGATTCGCTGCCATATCCTTAAATGTCCCCAACCAACCACTTGCGGTCTTTCGAACCCCTATCTGGAAGGCGAGAGACACCTACTCCACCTAATGGTTCCGCGCATTTCTTCATGCCTCGTCTCCACATCATCTGTTGACCTCCACATGGTTTACTCCAACCCGGAGCGGCTACAGCGAATAAGGGGCGATGTGGTAGACGATGGCTGGGCATACACAATACGTACCTTAGCCAGCGAAGTCTACTAACCTGAATTCGATGTGCCAGCAGGCTTATACCTGACAAACTCCCTAACACACGACGGCTTACCTCCAGATTACTAAACCGTTCGCTGCATTCCACATAGGCTAGACTACGTAAACACCAATAGTCGGAAACCTCTAGTCGATGGATATCTTCTACTCGCAAATTCAAGGTCTCACAACCATAAAGGAGAGCTGAAAGAACGCTAGTACAATATGCAGGAGCTTTCAACCTCAGTGAAACGTCGTGACTACGCCAAAGGCGTACCATCACAACGAGACTGTACCTTGAAGTGATGTGATGGCTTATGCATCTCCTTGGCCGAACGAGCTACACAAGATGACTCTTGTCAAGCCAGGAACTCTTATCATACCCAGAAGGTCAATGAGTAGATGTCAGACGAAGTCTAGTCTCCTGGTCCTCCAGGTTGGGGGTTCGACTAGAAGTGGCGTTTCAGTCGGTTAAAAATCGTGGAGGAGTAATCGATCCAAGTAAATGAGCCTCCGATCCGCTTTACCCGCTACCTTGCGGTTAGGTTCTTGTCACAACTAGAGGCTTCGAACGAGAACCTTAATTGTTCTCCGGCTCAGTGGCTGGACATCCTAGCGGTACTCGTCCATCAAACCCCAATTCAACCGAGTATCGAACCCGGAAC